ACCCTTCCTGATACTTGCTGGGCTGCTACAACCACCGCCGCCAGCACCGCCACTTCTACAAACTCCTATTACAACTAATTGTAATACTACTAATAATGATGATGATAAAAATTATAATATCATACCAATACTGTTAGAACTTTCTCCATGACTTCCACAAATACGCTGCCTGCTGTAGTCTTGAATATCACAATTTTATTAAAACTTATTTAACGAAATAATAAGCCATCGTATGCAAAACGGAAGACGATCTCGAAAAAAATTATAACGAAAAGCGGAATACTCTTTAGGCATTGCGCAAACTTTTTTTCATCAAATGAAATGTATTATGGTAATGCAACAAAAGTTAATGCGAGAAGGTGAAATGAATGAGGTATTCCGTCATAATCTTTTTCGAGAAAGTGAAATGCATCATGTATTGCCTCTACATTTTTTTCGAAAAACACCTTTTATTAATTTTTCGTCAAAATATTAATCGTTATGTGTAATGTTTCTGTTTTTGCAAGAAAACATTTGGCCAATTAACTCAAATCTTCTCGTTTATTCGAATTATTTTTTGCGAAAACACTAAAGATATCATGCCTTTGCACCTTAATTCTTTCGACTTGCGTAAATCTTCTCATAAAAGATCGCGTAAGAGGTGACCCTTTGAAGCTTCCGTACTATATAAATGTTTGCATTTTTTCTTTTGCTTTATTTTATATATCGACTTGAAACTTTATATGTACAGTCCACAAGGATGACAACTTTGTTTTAATTTTTGAGTGATTGCTTTTTGTTAATTTCGTGTTCCAAATACTAAGATCTAAAAGATACACAAATAGAAAGGGTGCGCGGTTCAATAATGAGAAGGCATACATTGTTGATTAAAATATAGCATTGCGCATGACCACCGGAAGACGATGGCATGATGGTGAAAATGCGATGGCACGATGGTGAAAATGCGATGGCGCGATGGTGTAAACGCGATGGCACGATGGTGAAAACGCGATGGCACGATGGTGAACACGCGATGGTACGATGGTGAAAACGCTATTGCACGATGGTGAAAGTGCGATGGTACGATGATGAAACACGATGGTATGATGGTGAAAACACGATGGCGCGATGGTACGATGGTGAAATCACAATGGTACGATGGTGAAAACGCGATGTAACATCGCGCTTTCACTATCGCACTATCGCACCATCGCGATTTCACCATCGTACCATCGCGTTTTCACCATCGTACCATCGTGCCATCGCGTTTTCACCATCGTACCATCGTGCATCGCGGATACAGACTAAATAAAAAGTCACGACTGTCCAAACGGAACTCCGTAATAGAGAGATATATGGACATTTCAAAGATTATAAATTTCTCTTTTTTCATCAGTTCGTCTGTCTATCTGTCTGTCATTGCGTCCATTCAAAGAAATCTTGATCCGATGAGAACTAAAAACTTACAAAAACTATGTTCATGATGCTTGATACATGTATGTGGACAGAGGGTCTGAACTGTCATGACTTAAAAAGCACAAAAGCTTAGTTAATGATACTTAATATATAGATCGGGGACCAAGAAATCTAGGTCCTGCTATAACACAAAAAGTTCAAAGGGGAGGCTGAAGATACTTAGTATGTAGATAGAGGACCATATGGAGATTATGTATGGCATATAAATGTTTTTAATGTGGTTGCTATGGTTATAGAAATTACTAAAATAAACAACAATGAAATTTGATACATAACAAACATCCTGTAATTACTAATAACATTAAAGATCCTGTATGTTGTAATTAATGATTTAACAACATTTAAGTGAAATTTTATAAACATGTATAATTATTCTTCTAAAACAATTTCCAAACATCCAAGAATATGTTAAATATGTACTGCAAATGTTTATTCGCATAATAAATAATCTGTAAAATATATGCATTCATTTCTTATTGAAAAATTTGGTTACGTCTTTTTCGAAAATAAATTTCTAATTACCTCTCTTTATTTACATGAAATGTACATTCGGTAATATCTTTACAAATAATGCTTTTTGGACCTTACAATATTGATATACCTTCATTTGAGCATCATATTTATGATACAAAACCTTAAAAAAATTGAGTTACAGGATCTTTAACATTTGTTCCCATGATGTAAAAGTAATGTCAATTTCCTAATTTTTGCATAATTTCTTCCTAGTTATGTGTCAGAAATAAATTCTTTAAAAGTGAATTTACATGAGTTAATTGAGGTAGAGAATATGACAGCATAGGTAGGGGGCTACTACAATGTCTGTGACAATCTCTTGTTGTCTTGATTGCTAGAAAATTACATCTTACGTTAAAAACATTTTCTAACATTACAGGTAACCCTGTGAATATTGCTTTTTCGGCCGCTTTATCACAAAGTGAAGTTGACCTTAGACAAGGCGATACGATTATTTTCGACAAAGTGTTTGCAAACATAGGTAGTGCTTACAATTCCAACACCGGTGTAATCACTGCTCCCACCAAAGGCGCATACTTGGTGTCACTAGCCATGTCAATCGAGAATGGACAGAAATTTTATTTAGTACTGACGAAAGAAGGCGTGCATTTATTCGATATTTATGCTGACAGTACTACTAATAACGAATTCACGTCTACAACCAAAGAATGGATTATCGCTTTAAACCAAGGGGATAGAGTCTGGGTTCGCAGTGGAACAAATGGCCAGCTTCATGGAAATTTACATTCAATGATTACTGGTTTTCTTTTGTTTGAGACCAACTATATAAATTAAAACATTCAGATGTTGTAATAAACTCTTCCATTTTATTTGTTCAATAAGAATTCAGACTGATGTGCCCTTAAGTATACCTAAGCCAATTTAAAGCAAAGTTGTTTAATTGTGCCTTGAATACTAGTAATGTATCGAATTTAAACATCCAGTTTGAACAGCAAGCCAAAGTCAAAGCTGAAACTGATTTGTTTAACCATTACCACGCTAACGCTAAATATCCAAAATGGACTAGTCCATTTTACAAAATTAGCCATTATCATTCATCATTTTCAAAATAAGTGCTATCAAAATAGCGAACAGTGGCACAGATTGTTCGTCAGGTCATATAGTCTGCACTTTTCTCACGGCTAGAACCAAATGCGTCTTACAGGCCAATTGTTCATTAGGATAATAAATTCTATGAAAATAATCGGATTTTAATTCTGAATATAAAAACAAAAGAGCATTCCAAGCATTATATAGTATGTTAGAAAGAATGAGCACAGTAACATTGATTCCTTTAAGAAAGCAACTTAAAACTGCTTCATCTAAAAATTTGAAACAAAGTGATCCCACGGAAGCATTGATTAAACAAAATTACATGAAAATTGCAGACTCTGTTTGATTGAGTCTGTACATGTCTGCAACATCCCTCACACCCCCTAGCACCGGCTTGAGCGGTACTCAATTATCAACACTTAATAGTCCTGGCATCAATGATCCCGGAGGACCAGAAAAATATAACAACACTGAAGTGAAGTCCGGGGCAACTTTTACAGCTGCCTCACGGCACTTGACACCTAGAATGCGCAACAAATATAACTTATGACTTTCTTATTCATGGGTCAAATTTAACGATTTTCTTTATGTTTAATTATTTTAACATTATCAATTATCAGATCAAGAAAAAAAAACGAAAAAAAACTTATGTTTGAAAATGAGTCATATTCGGTAATATTTTCTGAATGGAATTAAAGAAGGCAAAACTAATATATAAATTTTGTATTTATGGGTCAAATCAGAGTCTTTCAAATAGAAAGACTTTGGTCAACTTTAATAACGATTTTTGGCATTTATAATTATTTCATAATTATAAAATACCATAGCAAGAAAAACATAGCTATAAATATTTATACATGTATATATCTGTGCATAAAATAAGTTTGAAAATAACAAGTCACACCGTGACATGCCTGACATATCAAAATGATCTTGTTATACAGGGTTGACCGACCAAATTTTTCACAGAATTATGTCCCCAATTATTATAACCCCCTTTTCATTGAAATTTGCAACTGATGACATATACTTTTTGTTAAAAATACAAATATCCACATGAAAAAAATATCCTAGATACCTGGGATGTACTATAACTTATGAAACACTTCATTTCCTTAAAAAAACAAACAATTCTGCAATTCAGTGTTAGTTTTATACAATAATTTAACTTGATGTTATATTGAATCTAACGGGTTTCACTGCACATTTTGCAGCCCATGGATAAAGAAGGCCTGACCGTCAGACCGTTTTTTTTTTTTTTTTTTTTTTTTTTTTTTTAAACTACTTTTAGTTGCTTTTGACCTATTCGAAAACGATTCTCATGGCCTATGTATGCACCGTAAGTAAACTTCCGTTGACAGCAAAACAGGATTTTCATGGTTATTTTAACGTTTTTCTGAATAAATGTTGTGAATTGTTAGATTCAAACTGGTTAAAAATATATCATACAAAGGTAGGAAATGTTTCATTTAATGTTTGATCGAGTAAAATATCAACAACTGGTGCCTAGTCATGTTTGTAAAGGTGTAGAGTAGTCGGATACAACATTTTGGATGAGGAAATTTTTGTTCTTAGATATAATAAACAATTACACTAATTGATTTATTTGAAAAAATATATTTTCATGTTATAAAGATTAATTCTATAATGAATTACCTAATCACATTTATTAATTGTTTATTAGTCTAACTAATAATACTTGTCAGAGACATCGAGATAATTTTTGGACAGGCAATGTCCAAAGGTTTGACAGTATGAAAAAAAAGTTTGTAAAACAGGTCAATCCATTCATGCCGAATAAATAAGGCTACTTTTTAATGGAAAGATACTGTTTGGTAAATTAACTTTGTTATTTAGGCAGTGGCTAGCCGCACGGGTCCATAATCATAATCCATTAAATATTTGGTAGCAAGACACTTCACCCTCCAGACACTTCACCCCTCAAATTTTGAAGACACTTCACCCCTCAAGACACTTCACCCCCCCAAAGTCAGTAAGACACTTCACCCCTCATCCTATAAAGTAAATAAGTCAACAACATAATGCTTTTATATGTTTATTTTAATTATTTTTAGTAATATGAAATTAGGCAAAGCCTATGAACGGAGAAGTCGGTAAAAAATCCTTTCATTTTTCCGTTTTAAAGGTGTCATTCGGTATTATATGCTCCGCTTCCGTTTTCACTCGGAATACTCGACGATATTATTTATCCGAAAAGTTGCGATTGTCCGCTATCGGAATATCTCGCCTATTATCATTGAATTACATTGAAAATGGCGCCGCCCGACTAGAACTGACACTGAAAATTTCATTGATAGGTATAGAATTCTATATATTTTTTATTGTTTTTTATTTGATTTTCTTTTAAATATACACGTGTAGTCTATAGCCGGGCAAGCCAAAGCCCGGACCCGCTTTGCGGGTCCGGTCTTTGACTTCCCCGTATTATTTGGTTTATACAGAATTTATTTTAGTTTGATTGTGTAGGAAGCTTTAAGCTTATAGACACACTTTCGAATCCGTTCCTGGAACCAACCAGTACTGAGCAATGAGTGTAAAGTTTCTTGCTCAAGGAAACAACGACTTGCCCCTGACGGGGTTTGAACCCATGCGGCTAGCGATCATTAGATTACTAGTCCGACGCGTTAACCACTCGGCCATGTCGCCACTAGTATTATTTGATTAATAAGTTTTTAATTAAAGGACAATTTACAGACTTTTCTAAGAGTAAATATTTGTTTAGTAAATAATTCAGAAACAAATAAAACATGTAATAATTTATTTAACTCATTTACGTATAACATGCAATATAACATAAAATTTTACTGGTTAAAAAAACACATTTTTATAAACGTCTGTAAATTCCCTCACTTTCTCTACAGGGCCTTTTTACCCTTCTTTGGTGTAGCCGGTATCCGGCTACTTCCCCAACCCAAATAACTACCTTTTTTCCCCAAAAACATGTCTAAAATTCCCCTCCTGGCGGAGATTTCCCCATTTAATTGTAAGTTAGATCGAAGCATAAAAATTTGTAAACAAACTTTTTCGTGTAAAAATAGACCGCTGTTTTGTCCAATAAAAGCTAATGATTCATTTTGCGACTAGAGGGATGCCTTAATTCAATGCATTGGCTGTTAAACTTGTAGCCTCTGTCTGATATGGCAATTTTCTAAAAACAGCATGGGGAAAACTCCGCCAGCCTCGTTCTGGCATACGTGTCATCAATCGCAACTTTTTGGCCCTTTCCTATTGAGCAATTATAACCGAAGATATTCCGATTAACATGTCATTTTTCAATCTCCACACAGTGATCTCCCCTTAATTCTTTGGCGTAGATCTCTGCCACCAAGGTCCCAATATATCAGAATTTCTGATATACTATATTTTTTCAAAAATTGTTTTATTTACTGCTTTTACATGTATCTATCAGTTAAGTTTTTTCTCATTGATTAAACAATGTTTATGGATAAATAAATAAATAATATAAATATTTAGAAATAATTTAAAAAAATTTGGGAATATTTTCTACCGAGACAATATTTTGATATTTTATATTTTTTAGCTTTTGAATTTATTTTTCGTTATTTTGTATACTTTTGATAATTTTTTGATAAACTATATCGATCGTAGGCACTAAAAGTTAAAAATAAAACAGAAAGAGAAAAATGACGTTAGATTTTCTATGTAACGGTCGATATTAACATTTGAATTTCGACGTAACGTCATGTGACTTTCATCTTCATGTGACGTCTTTGAAGCCAGTGATTACAATTCTGCCAAGGGAGGTAATCACTGTGAGGAGTTTGGTCATTTTAAAGACATGATGGGATACCGATTTACGTTAGTGTAAAGTACAATGTCGCACAATTGGCGAGCGTACAAGAAGAAAATAAGAGCGAATTATGCTCGTAGTACTGTTACTTTGACGAATTACTTTAAAAAAGGGAAGATTTGATGACCCTGCTGTGAGTTTAACACCTTCTAGTACTATAGTATCTATTATAACATGTAATCCCCCTGAACCGAAGTCAGCGCAAACCTGAAATGTGTTTTAACATATAAAAATATACAAATAGAATGATATTTTCCCCAAAAGTGCAAAAATCACGCATATTTTCCCCACAAAAACGGCTAGGGCCCCTTCCCCAAAATTAGTAAAAAGGCCCTGCTCTAAGAATTCCTTGATCAGTCCTTAAAGTAATTCGTGATGATTGTATTGCCCACTGTTATACAAAGCACTTTTATCCATTAACTGTTTATTGCATACATGTCACCTTGTTTATTCAATTAACATGTTGATTGGTTGTTTATTCAACAGATATCTCATTTATATATAATTGATTAGATAATTGGATTAAAAAGGTATTATTGTACGAAAATTAAATAAATAAATATATAAATAATATTGTATGTAAAATAAATAGATAAATAATATTGTATAAATAAATAAAATGAATATGAATGAATGAAATATACATAAATTATTTATCCACTTATTGTAATAAATAAAAAGGAACAATTTGTATAAATTTACCTTACTTACAAAATGTTGTTAACAATTCAAATTAAGTAAACTTACCAGTATCTCATGCTATATGTTGCCAGTTCCATTTGTATTCATGAGATGTTTTGCTTTCAATTCATTAAACAAGATAATGTCAATTAAAGACACAAAGGAAATGTGAAAGAGATTATATACTAAATATATATCAAAGTAAAATTCACACAAGGGTTCACAAACTTCAATAGAAAGAATATTTAATTAGTAATATCACTTTCCTTTTAATTGAAACTAGTATAAAATATACAAAAATAAAATAACAAGAATTAACTTACAAATAACTTGTGATATGAGCCTTTTTGAAGGGCAAAACAACAATATATATCCATTGTCTTTGGTCAATTACATGATATTTTTTAATAATAATAAAATATGTTAAAACAATAAACATACTCAATCACTATTGAATACATATAACATTTTCAACATAAATGATTGTTTAACACAAAATAAAAAAATGGGGGGTGAAGTGTCTCAATCAAATTTCTTAAAATGAGGGGTGAACTGTCTGAGGGGTGAAGTGTCTGCAAAAAAGGGCCTAGGGTGAAGTGTCTGGGGGGTGAAGTGTCTGTAAACCAAATATTTTGATCATATATATTATACAGGGTGTTCACTAGCCATGAAATCCTTAGGGTCATTTTGACTAAGTTTTATTGACTACATTGTACAAGGCCAAATCCCGATGATTTTTAAATTTAACCCTCCAGTTAAAATCCTGAGGGTCAAATTGGGCCTTTTGGAAATTTGAAGGGTCAGAGAGTCATTTCAAGAGTCAAACTGATACCCCATATATATATACTTTTATTTTTAATTTAAAAAAAAAGTTGCTGGTGTAATGAAATTAAGTGACCCAATAGAGTTATGACCTGTAACTGCACATGTTGCTATAATTAGATAAACATCAGCAAAGCCAATATATCTTGCATTAATCCTTTGTCATTAACAATATTATCAATGGAAGTGGCTAGGTCCATACGGCTACGTACGGCTAGCCAAAAGTTCTAGCCGTACGTGAGTCACAAACGACTAGCCAGGACTCACTGTATTGTCTAGCCTTACGGCACTTTTCAAAATTATATAGAAGTCAAACATGCATATGTTATTTTGTGCCTCATGATTATGATTTGTTCTTTTATTTGTATGAAAGATGAATTTTTGTTAATTAAGCACATGGATCAAATAAATAATAATCAGAGTGGAATAAATAAAAACATGGATTTATATTACAAATCCGTGTTAAAAGAACATTGAAAAATAACACGGTGAAATGCAAAAATAATTGTATAATTTTCAAATACAGTAGATAAATATCGAACATTAAAGCACAATCAATTAATTAGCGTTAATTAAAGCCTACCCAGGGTCTGACAATAGAATTTTAAAATGCGTTTCACAGAACATGCAAACTTTCCTTATGTTAACAAACTTCTATACCGTCAGTAATTGATGCAGTTATCAGAGCCCAACAACAATAATTTTCGGGTTTTTTTGTTTCATTTTAAAGGTGTTGAAAATTAAACTTAATGAAACAGAAAAGGATTATCATCAAAATTTTGTAAACTATTTCAATAATGAATTGATGTTATTTAACTGCGAACAAATGCTATTTTTTCTCAACGTCTTGAGATGACAAAGATCGATATTGGTCCTTTTTTTTACCGTAGCCAACAAGGCGATTAATCTCAAAAAAAGTAAACATACGAAGACAATTGCTGTTACGGCTAGCCAATACAGTGTGTCCTTGCTAGTCGTACGTGACTCACATACGGCTAGAACTTTTGGCTAGCCGTACAGGTTAGCCACTTCCATTATCAATACTGAAACATAAATTTCTTTTGTGATAATTTAATCTCTCACAGATTTTTGTGTCGCCTCTACGGAGTAGTGGCGACATATAGGGATCACTTCTCCGTTGTCTGTCCGTCCGTCCGTCACAAAACTTGTCCGGACTACTCCTCATAAACTACTGGTGCAATTTCATCCAAACTTTACAGGAATGATCAATACCAAGTCTTATTGTGCATATTGTCAGCATTTTCCAGTTCAATAATTTTTGTCAGAGTTATGGCCCTTTAATAATTTTTAATTTTAAAGTTTGTCCGGACAAATTCTCTGTATACCACTAATGCAAATTTCAATGAAACTTTACAGGATTGATCTGTAGCTCAAGTCCTTGCGCATATTGCACGGGTTTTCCGATTTAATGATTTTTGGCCGAGTTATGGCCCTTTGATAAAAAGGTGTTTTTTTTGTGTGTTGCCAGATACACAAAAGCTTGTCCGGACTACCCCTCATAAACTACTGGTGCAATTTCATCCAAACTTTACAGGAATTATCAGTACCAAGTCTAGTTGTGCATATTTGTCAGCATTTTCCGGTCCAATGATTTTTGTCAGAGTTGTGGCCCTTTATTCTAACACTCACGTGATTTTGTCACTATAGACAAAGAAGGAAAAAAACTGGTGTTAAACTGTCAATAAACACCGGTAAGGGACTACTTGTATATGCGCTATTATGTTTTCACCCTCGATTGTATAGTTTATAAAGCATTTTAAAGCAACAATAAAAAGCATTTTTATTTATATTTTCAGTTCGTATAATGTTTTCTTTCCATACAATACCGAAATAATATCTCACATACACTAACGCAATATATTAGATCCATATTAGTTAATAAATATTTTGACAAAACGGCGCCAATCCGTAAGCAGCGTAATGACGTCATCCTAAGTAAACAACTCATTCATAAACAAGCTGACGTTATTTCATACATACAGGAATGATAAATGGGGCACTGATGTAAACACAATACGACGTAAGTTTTTAATGTTGAAAACTTGATAAAATAACGTTTTTTTTTCTTATTATTTCTTTTGTTTAATAATTTATATATCTTCGCAACAGTAGGATGCGAAAATCGAACAGCGTTATACGAAAATCGGCACCGGAAGTTATTTCCGCTTGAAAAATAACATTAGTGATTTTCCTTATTTTATCGTGTTAGAATCGAAATAACATCGTCCTGAGAGGTGTATATCGGCTATTTAACACCGGTTTTGTCGTTTTGATGCGACAAAATTAACCACTCAGGCCTACGGCCTTCGTGGTCAATTCCTACGCATCAAAACTCCAAACCGGTGTTAAATAGCCGATATACACCTCTCAGGACGATGTTATTTCTTAAATAATTTTTATTTTTATAGTTTTTCCGGACTACTTCTCTTATACCACTAATGCAATTTCAATGAAACTTTACAGGATTGATCTGTAGCTCAAGTCCTTGCGCATATTGCACGGGTTTTCCGGTTGAATGATTTTGGGCCGAGTTATGGCCCTTTGATAAAAAGGTGTTTTTTAGCTCACCTGAGCATATGCTCAGGGTGAGCTATTAGGATCACTCTTCGTCCGTCGTCCGTCGTACGTTGTCCGTTCACACTTTTCAAACGACATCTCCTCTGAAACCATAAGGCAGATCATAATGAAACTTCACAGGGATGTTCCTTGTGTGAAGTCTTAACAAAGTTGTTCAAAGAATTCCATTCCATGCAGAACTCTGGTTGCCATGGCAACCAAAAGAAAAAACTTTAAACATCTTCTTCTAGAAAACCCAAAGAGCTAGAGCTTAGATATTTGGCATGAAACATCTTCTAGTGAGTGTCTACCAAGATTGTTCAAATAAAATCCCTAATCCCTGGGGTCAAAATTGGCCCCGCCCTTAGGGGGTCATTGATTTTCCCTATACTGTATGCATATAGTAAAAACTTAAAAAAATCTTCTTTTAAAGAACCCAAAGAGCTAGAGCTAAGATATTAAGCATGAAACATCTTCTAATGAGTGTCTACCAAGATTGTTCAAATAAAAGCCCTGGGGTCAAAATTGGCGGGGCCCCTGGGGGTCATTGATTTTCCCTATATGCATATAGTAAAAACTTAAAAAAAATTCTTTTAAATAACCCAAAGAGCTAGAGCTAAGATATTTAGCATGAAACATCTTCTAATGGGTGTCTACCAAGTTTGTTCAAATAAAAGCCCTGGGGGTCAAAATTGGCCCGCCCCAGGGGGTCATTGATTTTCCCTATATGCATATATTAAAAACTTTAAAAAATCTTCTTTTAAAGAACCCAAAGAGCTAGAGCTAAGATATTAAGCATGAAACATCTTCTAATGAGTGTCTACCAAGATTATTCAAATAAAAGCCCTGGGGTCAAAATTGGCCCCGCCCGGGCTGACATTGATTTTCCTTATATGTGTATAGCAAAAACTCAAAAGTCTTCTTTGAAAAAACCCGAATAGCTAGAGTTTAGATATTAAGCATGAAACATTTTCTTTAAGTAAGTGTCTACAAAGATTGTTCAAATAAAAGCCCTTGGGTCAAAACTGGCCCTGCCCCAGGTGTGTCATTGTTTTTAACTATATGTGCAAAGAAAAAACTTGACCAGCTAGACCTTAGATGTTAAGCATGAAATATCTTCTAGTGGGTGTCTACCAAGTTTGTTCAAATAAAAGCCCTGGGGTTTAAACTGGCCCTGCTCCGGGGGCCTATATACAGGTGAGCGACTTCAGGGCCATCATGGCCCTCTTGTTTCTGTGTGTTGCCAGATACACAAAAGCTTGTCCGGACTACTCCTCATAAACTACTGGTGCAATTTTATCCAAACTTTACAGGAATGATCAGTACCAAGTCTAGTTGTGCACTGTCTGTCTGTCTGTCACAAAATTTGTCCCAACATGAAATTGGCCATCATGAGGCGACACATGTGATTACTGATAGCTCTTGTTTTTTAAAAATAATTCTTAAGAATCTGTGTATTTAAATAATGGTATTTACACTTGCTTAATATTTTTCTGTCTTTTTGTTTAAGCAGGTTTCTCTCAGGTTTGATAATGACCAGTCAGAGAGATGCTTTCAGTTACCGGAGTGTTTCTCCGACAGTGTCACCGACACTTTCTCCACATGCATCTCCCCCATCATCACCATTCTTCTCCAAGACAGAGGACCCTGCGAGGCAGGAACTGAGATTATCGGCAAATGCAAAACGACAGAAATATTTGAGGCGGTTGTTAAAATTTAAACAGATGGATTTTGAATATGCGTTCTGGCAAATGATATATCTGTTTGTAGCGCCACAAAAAGTGTAAGATAAAGTTTGTGTAAATTGTATTTACATAGTTTTATAGGTTAGCGATGAAGATAAATAGTGTTCCTATTGACTTGTTAAAAGTTTTAAATACCTCAAATTTTGAAATAAGGAGGCAAGCATACAATTATTATTATATACATGTATAAAGGTTTTTCAAATAAGGGGCTCAAGGAAAATTACCTTCACTGTATCTATAATAGTATAAAACAGCATATCTCCAGAAGATATTTTATGGATTTGAAAATCTTGCTGTATGTGTTTAATTATTTAAAAAAAAAACAAACTATGATTCCAAATGGACTAAATAATAAAGTAGTGTTTGATTTATAATGTGTAACATGAATATATTTATGTTTGTCTATTATTTTATTTTTATTAACACTGTCTAATAGACATCTGTATCACTATTGATCCATTTTAATACATGTACCAGCTTTATTTATAACATAAATAATTGTTTCTACATGTTACCATATTTTTGCTGCTAAACGCCATAACGTTTAACGCGTGTTCCGTTATGACGTCGCTTCCTTATGTTTTGCACTGATGAAGGCATATAGCCGAAATGTATGCAATAAATACATGTAATTACTGAATGTTCATGTTTGTTTATTTTAATTATTTAAAAGAAACTTTTTTGCCTTTTTCAGATACAGAAATTTTCAGTATAGGAAAAGTAAGTAAGAAACATTATTCAGTGTCCTGGTTTCTTTGAAGTATTCTGAATCAGTTTTCACAAAAGACTTAATTTAAGTAATCTTTTCTGAAAATTCATGTAAATACATGACTGTGTATATGCATAAAGTAATTATCCACCCATTCATACAAATGCCAACATTACATGCTAATGATGTATAGGTTTGTAAATTGAACAGATTCAATATATGTATTGCATTGTTTTGTTTCAAGCACTAACTGTAACATTTTATCTCTTTCACCTTCAGCTATAGGAAATTTGAGTTATTCACTTAATAATAAGTGCTCTGTATATCTTATTTCAGACACAAAAGACCAGTGGGCAAGAGATGACCCTGCTTTCCTAGTCTTGCTGAGTTTTTGGTTGATAAGTATGTAATGTTTGCTTGGTTTAAAATCCTTTCTCAAATCTATAATTGTTGATTTAGCCTTATTACATGTACATTTCAGTTTTCTCTGAAAATCATGCATTAATTGGTTTCTTTTTCAAGTAGATTATTTAAATTATAGGTAAAGTTTAAAGATTTTATCAATATTGTATGCCTTAGTCATGTCTTGCTGGTTTAGAGAGAACAAATACAGAAACAAACTGTGATCTTAGTAATATAAAGTAACATATATATTCTCTTTACCACAGTGACTAAATATTTGCGAAATTCGCCGTCACAATATACATGTATATATAAATATTGTGCGAAAGTTTGTCCCCGCAAAAAACACATACTTATTAAAAACGTGAAACATCCTATAAAAATTGAGATATATTATATCTGTGAAAGTTTTTAGGAATACAGTCACTAGATTTTTCTTTGTTTAATTTCCAGTTTCATCAATTGGATTTGCTGTGGTGCTAGGTCTACATTTTCTAGGATTTCTCAAGTTTATACTCTGGGTGGTATTTGTAGACTGTATAGGCGTGGGACTACTAATTGCCACATTGTTCTGGTAAGAATGCCTAGAAAGAATGTATATAAAACACATTCTGAAGTAAAAAGTAAAGTCTTTTCAGTGATCGAAAATTCAATTTGTCCACTCTTAATTACTAGTAGAATTTAAGAGAACTTGATGCAGGACAAGTATTAAAATGTTGCCTGCACAATGTAAATAGAAGCTACTTGTCCTGCAGGACTAGTGACTCTGAAAATATTTTACTACACCTCCTTTTTATATGCCCGAAAGAATTTCGGGCATATTATGTTATAATACCCCCTGGCGTCCGTCCGTCTGTCTGTCTATCCGTCCGTCCGCAATTTGGTTTCCGGAGCATAACTTAAGTTCCATTTGGCCCACAACATTCAAACTTCATAGGATGATTGTCCATATTGGGTAGAAGACCCCTATTGATTTTGGGGTCACAAGGTCAAAGGTCAAGGTCACTATGACCTTAAAACTGAAAACAGTTTCCGGAGCATTACTTAAGGTCCATTTGGCCGACAGTGTTCAAACTTCATAGGATGATTGTCCATATTGGGTAGAACACCTCTATTGATTTTGGGGTCACAAGGTCAAAGGTCAAGGTCATTATTACTTTTAAACTGAAAACAGTTTCCGGAGCATAACTTAAGTTCAATTTGGCCGACAGTGTTCAAACTTCATAGGATGATTGTCCACATTGGGTAGAAGACCCCTATTGATTTTGGTGTCACAAGGTCAAAGGTCAAGGTCATTATTACTTTAAAAATGAAAACAGTTTCTGGAGCATAACTTAAGTTCCATGTGGCCCACAGTATTCAAACTTCACAGGATGATTGTCCATATTAGGTAGAAGACCCCTATTGATTTTGAGGTCACAAGGTCAAGGTCACTTTTACCTTAAAACTGAAAACAGTTTCCGGAACGTCACTTAAGTTCCATTTGGCCGACAGTGTTCAAACTTCATAGGATGCTTGTCCATATTGGGTCGGAGACCCCTATTGATTTTGGGGTCATAAGGTCAAAGGTCAAGGTCACTATTACTTTAAAACTGAAAACAGTTTCCAGAACATAACTTAATTTCTATTTGGCCCATAGGTTTGAAACTTCATAGGATGATTGTCCATATTGGGTAGAACACCCCTATTGATTTTGGGGTCACACAGTCAAAGTTCAAGATAGTTTTACCTCACAACTAAAAACAGTTTCCAGAGCATAACTGAAGTTCCATTTGGCCCACAATATTCAAACTTTATAGGAGGATTGCTATTTGAAGGAGGTAATACTTTATTTAATTTATGTAATGTCTTACAAATGCTTCATCCTTAGTAATTAAAGAAGAAAAACACTTTCGGGTATATAATGCTCCGCCTAGCGGTGCTCTTGTTTATTGCTTGAGCTTCCAAGCGTTTGTTCAAATATCAAGTATCTTTGAAGATGAATTTTTGTATGTGAGTTACCTGTCCAGCTAGGTTCCAATAGATCGATGGTGTATCCAGATATTAATTGGCTTATGTCTGAAAACTTGATAATTTTGTTGCTGCATTTTGCTGATATCCTTTCCCAACATATTTTGTAAATGATATAACATAAAAATTGCTGTTTGTTTGGTTGAGTTTTAAGTTGCACCAACACTGTTTCAGCCATATGGTGACTTTTGTCCAGCTCTATACTGGTGGAGAAAGACCTCGGGTGCCCTTCCCCTGCATAATATCAGGCATGAGTGAGCATCTGAGTAGAACCACCAACATTCTGTAAGCTGCTAAGCTAACTCACATGAAATTATTCAAATTTGAACCTAGAAAAGCAGTAAGGGGAAGTGGTTTGACGTCAAAGATGTTAAACACTCAGCCGTGGATGCGCGATTTATTTTGTTGTTTTCATATATCATTTCTATTTTAGGATAAGGTTCATGACATTTTTGATGATCTTTATTAATAGTCAGATCAGTTTTAATCGTCATAATGATTTGTTTTTGATAGGTTTATAACAAACAGATATATGGTAATATCGCCACCCAGAGGTCAAGAGATCCCGAAAGGTCAGGACGTAGAGTGGGGTTACGCTTTTGACGTTCATCTCAACGCCTTCTTCCCTCTTCTTATGATTCTTCATCTTTTTCAGCTGGCTTTTCTACACTGTAAGTCATTTTGTTTACCCTTTGTCCTGAAGAATGGGCATGTCCTGCTTCCATTTTTGGAGCACCAGGAGCAGACCATTATTTATTTAGGGATGTCAAGTTAAAAATTTGTCAGCCAAAGGTATCATGTATTGAGCCTGATTTGGCTGCACAAACAATTGTAGTATGGTTCTATGTTTATGCCATGGCTTTTAATGTTTGGTTCCATCAAAGTGTAATTTTTGGATCAATCATTTCTAAAGTTTAAGTAACTCCACAAAGACCCAAAGGCCTGAAAAATATATAATTTGAATTTCTTAAATTGATCAGCTGGAGCACTACATGAGATATGCAAAAGATAATAAAATGAAAATATTTTTTTTGTGAGTTTAAGTGCAATTTTGAGTTAAATGATATTGGGGTTATTATCACATTCTATACAATACTTATGGGAGCACAAAGTGAGCAAATGATATGAAATTTTAAATTCTCGGTCCAGACCTTCCTTTCATTATACATTCAGCTTAAACAAAAATTTTCTAGTACAACTGCAGAAGGGCCTGTTTAAAGATATACTTCGCTCAAATATTTGTATTGCAAAAATTTTTTTAATCAAATAAATTCTTACTGAATATGTTTTTTTTTTGAATACAAGAATGCACAAACTATGTTAAGCAAGCTGCATTCCCTATTACTGGCCAAACTGAAGCCAGTTTTATCATTGATCCTATATATTGTTTCTGTGTTTACCTATAGTGTGTAACATTTAAAACATAACACATCTTCTCTGAGTGTACATAAAAGATGTTTTACATTTAAAAAGGGACCATATAGTATTTATCAGCATTTTAAAATATCAAATTTAAGCATAATATACATAAAAGAAATACAAATTTAAGTTGCTAACTTTGTTTAATAGATTTGTCCGGCTTTGATCTTCAAAGTATTTATTAACTTCAAGAATTTAACAGAGTCTGGACAGAATAATTCAACCAAAAAGTGAAACCTGTTTGTCCAAATTCGGCATTTGACCTTTGTGCATTTACCTAAGTTATTCCAATGTCCTTCAAATTTAAGTATCAAAAGCTTTAAGCATAGCTTGAAAATCAAGAGTGCAATATATCAGATCTGCCCGTTTTACTATCTGCAGACTTGAAAGTAAACACTTACTTCTTATTGAATTATATTCATAGAAAAAAGTTTTAATACTTATGTAACTTTAGTTTGAATCTTTCCAAAGGTTTGTAATTTAACTAAAAGTACAGTTGATAACAATATTAAGGGAACGGCTGAATTTATATCATTATATTTGCAAGGCGATATGAAAACAAAAGTTGGGACCGTGGCAACAGCATTGGTATAAGCAATACCATTATAAGTTGAATTTACTGTATTTACTAAAATTTAAAAGTTTTGGTTTTTCTTGCATTGAAAGACTTTTTACTAAACAATATAATTTATTTAATGTTTCAATTTTTGTTACAGCTGTGATAAACCAAGACTGGTTTGTTGGTCGATTCTTTGGTAATACACTGTGGTTGGTGGCGATTTGTTACTATATATACATCACATTTCTTGGTTACAGTGGTAAGTTCATAATGATAATATAAATGTGCTCACAATTATTCCAAGTTCTTTTCATGTAAGCATAATTGTATTATAGATGTAAGACTGTTATAAAATTAAAATTGACTCAAGATTATTTGGTTACATATAAAGTGGTATATAGCCATGACTGTCAAGGCCAGATATTGATATAAGCTAATAAGTAGTCAATAATGACATTTATAGTCGCTACTGGCAATGACATAAAATGGCATAAAACCCCCAACTGTAATCTGGAACAATAACCATACTTTTTGAAATAAAATGATAGTATGTATTGAATGTTAATGTTGTCTGATGAAATGGGGACATATTTTTGTCTTTTCTGTCAATAAAGAACTTTAATCTTGGCCACAGCGTCTTTATTTCATAAGGTACAGTTTTCAACATTTCTCACAACAAGAGTTTCCTCTGAAATATGACCTTGACCCCAAATTTACATTGACTACTAATGTGACTTTCTTAATTTAGAAATTTTGCTGTAACTTTAATGATTTATTTTTAAAAAAATGGAAGACCGCCTCCGTGGTCGAGGGGTTAGAGTCGATGACTTCTAATCCAGTTACCTCTCTGGCGTGGGTTCGATCCGGGGAGATGCTTTGGTAGTTTAGCACGGAGGAGGGTAGTCTAGTACTGGTGTAACCTTCAGGAACAATGGTTAGGAAACTACCCGCCTATATGACTGAAATACTGTTAAGAAAAGGCGTAAAATGAAACAAATAAACAATTTGAAAAATTAGAGAGAAGCAAAGATGTTTTATGAAGACGACTAACTTTTTATTTGAAATTATTGTAAAATATATGTACATGTATTTTTTTGTTTCCAATTTCAGCGTTACCATTTTTAAAGAACACTCGAGCCTTGCTATTTCCTGTCACAGGTGTGATAATTGTTTATGTACTCTCATTGATTTTAAACTGGAACTTCAGTTGGCATATGTGTACTTTCTACAGATTCCGTGTGTTCTAGCAGTGTGTAATGTTTATGCACAAATCCAGCATACACAGTTCGAGATTGTGAAAAGTGTATATAGAGTGTACAGAACTTGCATTGTAAAAATAAAAACTAAAATAATGGGATTCACAGAATGCGTTATAGATGGTATTTTATACAGGTTATGTATCTATATTTAAAGTGTATGTGTAAAAATATTGATGGAATATTTAGCTGGACCCATGCTTTGGATAGCTTAATTTTTTTAAAGACAATTTTATCTCTAACCAGGGATAGTTTCCTAAACAGAAATTCAAGATTTTCTTGTATTTCTCTTTTTCATGTATGTAGATTAAGTTATGTTAAGAAAACAGTTTCATCTGTGGCAACAGAATAAAGAAAATATTTTTCAGCATTTTTGTTTTAAGAAAAAAATGAGCTATTATGATTACTGCATCACCATTGTTGTCATGATGCATAACTTTAATGTAGCCAATTATTCAAATATTTTAAAAGGTATCACTATGAAACTTGAAATTTTTGCTTATCATGAGCTGATGAAGTTGTAAGACATGGAACTTTATTTTTAAAGCTTTGTTTTTGGAGGTATGCCCCATTTTAACTTCTTTTTTTTTGTTAAAATTATTTTATTGACAGCTTAGCCCATAGCCATATTACTATACAAGTTGGTCTTGTTTTAAATCCAGTTTGAATAGTACATGTAATTAACAATAAGAATTTAAGCAGCATTGTCTTCTTGTGGTAGATCCATACATGATATTTTAAATAAGATATGTATTCCCTACATATGACTTATTTTTTAAACGACGTTAGTATTTTTGGTGAAAAGATAATTTATCTGGACTATTGAAGGAGAAAAAATGCTGGTTTTTATCTTGACAGACGGTAAAGGAAGATATTTTTCTCTGTTTGTTTGAATTATCCCCATTTATTGAAATGTGTAGTATTATATAAGATATTTAAGATAATGTGATAGTATATACTGTAATCTATCCTAAAAGAAGGTCCTAGCTGATGCACTACTGCTTTTTCCCAAGATCATGTATATAAGGTGCAAATGCATCTTTAATGAGATTGGTTTACCTAATTTTTTAATGTATAAGTAAAATTGCAGTTATTGTTTAACCTAGTGACATTAACTGAACCTGTGACAAAATTTCCAACATGAAGGGAGAAAACTCTTGTTTGATGAAATCTAAGGAAAGTAGAATAATGCAAGGTGTGTTTTTATTTATTATGGAAGCTGTATGTTAGTGCTATGCATAATTATACATATTATTTTGTAATATTCTGTAAATATTATATTTGTATAAAAGGGGGTCAATCAAGCACGGGGAGGGGATTTTAGACAGCTGATCTGTTAAACTTCATTTAATATCACCTAAGTTGAACTTCATAATCATAAACCTGTTTTAAAGCATTGCTACGGATAGTGACTTATTTTCATGTACTTTTTATTTTTTCGATAAGTCCCACTTTTAAACATGATGAACTTATTAATATAACTTTCTTTATTGATTTTTTGTGCCGCCTTGAAAAGGTGACATATAGGGGTTACTTTTGTCGGCGGTTTCGGCGACGGCGTCTGTGTCGTTGTCGGCGTCCGCTAAAGCTTTTCCGGAGCATAACTCAGTCACTATAAGTCTGATTGACTTCAAACTTGGTATGCATGCTTCTTTCAATAACCCGAAGTGCAGTGCACAAGGACCAGTACTCTGCAGTTCTTATTTTTTGAGTTATTGCCCTTTGTTGTGTCGCCTCTTTGGAGTAGTGGCGACATATAGGGATCACTTCTCCGTCGTCTGTCTGTCCGTCCGTCCGTCACAAAACTTGTCCGGACTACTCCTCATAAACTACTGGTGCAATTTCATCCAAACTTTACAGGAATGATCAGTACCAAGTCTAGTTGTGCATATTGTCAGCATTTTCCGGTTCAATGATTTTTGTCAGAGTTATGGCCCTTAAATAATTTTTAATTTTAAAGTTTGTCCGGACTACTTCTCTTATACCACTAATGCAATTTCAATGAAACTTTACAGGATTGATCTGTAGCTCAAGTCCTTGCGCATATTGCACGGGTTTTCCGGTTGAATGATTTTTGGCCGAGTTATGGCCCTTTGATAAAAAGGTTTCTTTTTCTCTGTGTTGCCAGATACACAAAAGCTTGTCCGGACTACTCCTCATAACTACTGGTGCAATTTCATCCAAACTTTACAAGAATGATCAGTACCAAGTCTGGTTGTGCATATTGTCAGCATTTTCCGGTTCAATGATTTTTGTTTGAGTTATGGCCCTTTAATAATTTTTATTTTTAAAGTTTGTCCGGACTACTTCTCTTATACCACTCATGCAATTTCAATGAAACTTTACAGGATTGATCTGTAGCTCAAGTCCTTGCGCATATTGCACGGGTTTTCCGGTTGAATGATTTTTGGCCGAGTTATGGCCCTTTGATAAAAAGGTGTTTTTTTTCTGTGTGTTGCCAGATACGCAAAAGCTTGTCCGGACTACTCCTCATAAACTACTGGTGCAATTTTATCCAAACTTTACAGGAATGATCAGTACCAAGTCTAGTTGTGCACTGTCCGTCTGTCTGTCCGTTTGTCTCAAAATTTGTCCCAACATGAAATTGGCCATCATGAGGCGACACATGTGATTACTGATCGCTCTTGTTAATTTTCATACTTTAATTTTGTCCGGGCCATTTCTCTTCAACTAAAAAAGCTATGGACTTGAAACTTCATAGGATGATAGATCTCATTAAGAAGAAATGCAGTGCACAAGAACCATTACTCTGCACTTCCTAATTTTTGAGTTATTGCCCTTTGTTAATTTTCATACTTTATTTTTGTCTGGGCCATATCTCCTAATGTATAAAAGCCATGGACTTGAAACTTCATAGGATGATAGGTCTCATCAAGAAGAAGTGCAGTGCACAAGAACTGGTACTCTGCATTTCTTATTTTTTGAGTTATTGCCCTTTGTTTATTTTCATACTTAATTTTGGTCCAGGCCATTTCTCTGAAAGTATAAAAATTATGGACTTAAAACTAAGAACTGATACTCAGCATTTCTTATTTTTGAGTTATTGCCCTTTGTTGCTTTTCTTACTTTATTTTTGTCCTGGTCATTTTTCCTCAAGTATGAAAGCTATGGACTTGAAACATCATAGAATAATAGATCTTATTGATAAGAAGTGCAGTGTACAGAAACTGCTGCTCTGCACTTATTATTTTTTTAGTTATTGCCCTTTGTTATTTTTCATATTTCATTTTTGTCCTGGCCATTACCCCTAAACTACATTGTTCACAAGGCGACACATCCGACTCGGGAGTTCTAGTTGTTTTGAGTGCAGGTCAATCCAACTTATTAAATTTGTTTTGCAGTATTTTAATTGTCTGTTATTGTAAAGTATTTATAAGATTATTTAGATGGGAAATGTAAAGTATTTATAAGATTATTTAGATAGGAAATCTTATTTACATCAATCCTTTACCTGCAGGAACTGAAAGTGATAAGCTTTTGTTACCAGTATAGAGCAAGGCAATCATGCACATCCATGCAATTTGGCCAGGCTCTAAACTGTTGACTGACTTTTAGTTTTCATCTTGATATCCCCAAGATTAATAATGGACAATTCCCAAAATGCAAGCTGGACAAGTCCATTTAAGAAATTCAGTATGTTAAGATTAGGATTGGTTAAGTTATACTGTATGCATTGTCTTCTCATTCTATGAAGACATTCACACATATTGGTAATTTTACATGAATGTTCCCTGGGATAGATTCATTTATGCATTTGACATATTTATACATTGTATGTGTATTACCTTATTTTGAGCTCAACAGAGCACATCATGCTCAAAATGATCTATTGTGGTCACTCACTTCCCCTTGTTTGTCTTAACCTTTTCCCTTATATAAGCGTGTTTCGACGGCTTTTTGCCCCCCCCCCCCTTTTGAGGCCTCAAACAGTGAAAAAATGTCCTATTTAGACCCCAAACACTGTTTTTCGTTTGAGAAATGTTGTTAAAAAAAGTGACCATTTTTTCGGCGCCGTCCCCCATCCAAATAATACATCAGGGGGTTGCCAGAAGGGGGATGTGCCCCCTTCTGTTTGGGGGGTTTGAAGGGGGGTGGAGTCCCCCTCATCGCCAAGAAAATTTTGGACTTGTGAGAGGCTTAAAATGACCCCAGGTTGATCATAAAGTAACGTGTAACCAACGCTGAAAAGCCTTTGACTCTATCTCAATCCATTGAGAAGTTGCAGCACTTTGAAATAAATTTTGATGGAAAAAATCGAGGCAAAATAGTGATTTTTGGCAATTTTGAGATGTCCCCTCGTTGCCATGGTAACAGGAAATTTAAGACTGAGCATGTCGTTACAAAGGCAATGGTCCAGTCAACATTTGTGCCAAGTTTGATTAGTATTGAAGCATTTTTCATAGTTTCATAGCAGTTTGAACTTGTAAGAGGAGGCTTTTCAGTTAAAATGGCCATTTTTCACGATATGCTCATGGGGGAAAGGGTTAAGTAAAAAAATATAAATGTTACAAAACAACAATTTTTCACCAAAATTAGGTAAAAGACCACATGTTAACATGGAAAAACTAGATTTTGGGTGATTCCAAGGTTTTTCATCATTTTTTGTTAACCTTTTCCCTTATATAAGCGTGTTTCGACGGCTTTTTGCCCCCCCCCCCTTTTGAGGCCTCAAACAGTGAAAAAATGTCCTATTTAGACCCCAAACACTGTTTTTCGTTTGAGAAATGTTGTTAAAAAAAGTGACCATTTTTTCGGCGCCGTCCCCCATCCAAATAATACATCAGGGGGTTGCCAGAAGGGGGATGTGCCCCCTTCTGTTTGGGGGGTTTGAAGGGGGGCGGAGTCCCCCTCATCGCCAAGAAAATTTTGGACTTGTGAGAGGCTTAAAATGACCCCAGGTTGATCATAAAGTAACGTGTAACCAACGCTGAAAAGCCTTTGACTCTATCTCAATCCATTGAGAAGTTGCAGTACTTTGAAATAAATTTTGATGGAAAAAATCGAGGCAAAATAGTGATTTTTGGCAATTTTGAGATGTCCCCTTGTTGCCATGGTAACAGGAAATTTAAGACTGAGCATGTCGTTACAAAGGCAATGGTCCAGTCAACATTTGTG